GTCATACAATACTTTTTCTGGGAATATTCCATCCGAAATTTCCTTATTGAGAAGTCTTGAGTTGATTTCCTTATCAAATAATGAGATCAATGGTTCCATTCCACGAGAAATAGGAAGGTTGAGTTCAGTTTCCAAGATCTATTTCTATGTTAACCGTCTAAGTGGTTCTATACCTGAAGAGGTTTGCAACCTTTCCAAGCTCACTGAGCTTGACTTGTCACAGAATAATTTCTTTGGAAGTATTACTTCTAAAATCGGAAGGTTGAGTTCACTTTCTATACTTGCCCTTAATGCAAACAATCTGACCGGTCCAATACCTATTTCCATTGGAAGCTTGCACAATTTGTCCCGACTTATCCTCGTTGACAATAGGCTCAATGGTTCCATACCTAAAGAAGTTGGAATGATGAAGTCACTTAATATGCTTGATCTTTCAACCAACCAACTAACTGGTCCTATCCCAACATCTATAGGAAACTTAAGTAACATGGTATGGCTCTATCTGTATGAAAATCAGCTCTCTGGTTCTATCCCCAATGAAATAGGATTGCTTCAATCTCTTAACACGTTGCAGTTGTTAAGTAATAATCTCACTGGTGTCATCCCTGCTTCCATAGGAAACTTGACCAGCTTATCTACTCTCTACCTTTATAAAAATATGTTTTCTGGTTCAATCCCTGCTTCCATAGGAAACTTGACCAGCTTATCTGCTCTCTACCTTGGTGAAAATATGTTCTCTGGTTCAATCCCTGCTTCAGTTGGAAACATGACGAAGCTTGTGGAGTTAAGTCTTCTATATAATCATTTGTCAGGGCCAATTCCTTCGTTCAGCAATCTTACTCATTTGGAATCATTCCAAATATCGGACAACCATTTCAGTGGTCCATTACCCGAGAATGTATGCTACGGTGGACAACTCGAATGGCTTGGGGCTATGAACAACAATTTGAGGGGTCCAATCCCATCAAGTTTAAGAAACTGCAAAAGCTTATACAGAGTTAGGCTTGAAGGAAACCAGTTGACAGGAAATATATCAGAAGCTTTTGGTATATATCCTAATTTGAATTATATTGCATTAAGCAACAACAAATTTTATGGTGAACTTTCGCCAAACTGGGGGCAATGCCATAATCTAACAAGCCTACGAATCTCCAATAATAACATTTCTGGAAAGATACCACCTGAGCTGAAGCATGCAACTCAATTACACGAACTCGATGTCTCTTCAAATCATCTCATTGGTGAGATTCCCAAGGAATTGGGAGCATTGACATTGATGTACAAACTTTTGCTAGGTGGTAACCAACTTTCAGGCAAAATTCCACCAGAGATTGGAGTTCTTTCAAATCTAGAACATCTTAACTTGGCATCAAACAATTTGAGTGGACCGATTCCTAATCAACTTGGAGAGTGCTCAAAGTTATTGGACCTGAATTTGAGCAAGAATAAACTTGGAGAAAGCATTCCACTTTCAGTAAGCTACATAAATGGCCTTCAAAATCTAGATTTAAGTCAGAATTTACTTATTGGGGAGATACCACAACAGCTTGCAAAATTACATTCCTTGGAAACATTGGACCTTTCTCACAATATGCTTAATGGTTCCATCCCAAATTCTTTTAATAATTTGCAAAGCTTGACTGTTGTGAATATATCTTACAATCAATTAGAAGGCCCTATTCCTAACATTAAGGCATTTCATGAGGCTTCATTTGATGCCTTAAAAAACAATAAGGGACTATGTGGTAATGCCACTGGACTAATGCCTTGTGCTGTCACTGCAACTAGCAGCGGTCATAGAAAAAGCACCAAAGTCATCATTTTCATTGTGCTTCCACTCTTTGGTCTTCTTCTTTTGCTTTTTATCATAGCTGGAAGTTTCCTTATTCTTTGCCAAAAGAACCAAACCAGAAAATCCGAGTCAATCGAGGCACAACTTGGAGATTTTTTCACATTGTGGGGGTATAATGGAAGAATACTTTATGAGAACATTATTGAAGCCACTGAAGATTTCAGCTCCAACAATTGCATTGGTTCAGGAGGCTATGGAGCTGTTTATAAAGCTGCGCTACCCATTGGTGAGGTGGTTGCTGTGAAGAAACTTCACCAATCTGAAGATAGCATGATTTCCAACAACTTGAAAGCCTTTGAAAACGAGATTCATGCTTTATCAGAAATAAGGCATCGTAACATTGTGAAGCTGTATGGCTTTTGTTCACATCCGAAGAACTCATTTTTGGTTTATGAGTTCGTAGAAAGGGGAAGTTTGAGAATGGTGTTAAGCAACAAGGACGAGGCAATGGAGTTGGATTGGGAGAAGAGGTTAAATGTTGTAAAAGGAGTGGCCAATGCCTTGTCTTATATGCATCATGACCATTCACCACCTATAATTCATCGAGACATTTCCAGCAACAATGTTCTTCTGGATTTGGACTATGAGGCTCATGTTTCAGATTTTGGCACAGCCAGACTTTTAAAGCCCGACTCTTCCAATTGGACTACACTTGTTGGCACTCTCGGGTACATAGCTCCAGGTATTTGTTTATATTTCTATTTTTAAGATGCTTTATATATGTCATCATTCAATTAAAAGTGTTAGTCTTGTGTGCAAATTGATGCGTTAAAACAAAGTTCAAGTGGTTTTAAGATTGCAACTTTTCAAATTTAAGTACCAAAAAATTTTGCTCTAATTCATGTATCAAATGTATAATTAATCTTTGAAGTTTAACACGTAAGATTTGTAAGTTTTCAAATTTAAGTTTCAAAGAATTTTACTCTAATTCAAGTATCCAATGTAATTAATCTTTGAAGTTTAATACTTAATTTTTCAATATTCAATATATCAAGCTGATGAACTAAATATAAAATCTTATTTAAACCTTTGAATTTCAATTTTCATGTAATTTTTTAAACATTTGCAATTTCTTTTCAATGTTATTTTATAATCTTCTCAATATTCTTACATAATAGTGTATTTGATTAGCTTTATTTATTGCTTAATAGAGCACATTGATTAAAAATATTTCTTTAAGCAGAGTTGGCTTATACAATGAAAATAGATGAGAGATGTGATGTTTACAGTTTTGGGGTGCTAACAATGGAAATACTTATGGGGAGATATCCTAGTGATTTGGTTTCATGCTTGCCATCGTCGTCGACACCGGCATCAACATCGACATCGATACCAAATGACAACCAACTGATTTTATTTAAAGATGTGATAGACCAACGCCTCTCACCACCGATAAGGAAGGTTGCAAATGATGTTGTCTCAACTACAAAGCTAGCATTAGCATGCTTGAATGTCAGTTCCCAACTTCGGCCAACCATGCGACAAGTTGCTCAAGCCCTTACCCGTCAATCGCTTCCATTGCCCAATCCTTTCTCAATCATAAAATTGGGAGAATTGTGGGATCATGAAGTCTGTAGTGGCTAATATTAAGGTGCTAACAATTTAAATAATAATTCTAAGCATGAATATTTGCTTTCAATCTATTTCTTTTTCTCTTCTTTGTATTGAAATGTTCAAGCACTCTAGTAATAAAGCTTTTGTAGTAAATCAACTATAATATAAAACAGCTGTGTTTAATCCAGTGATATAGAATAACTGTGTTTAAGCACTCAATTTTGTATGTTCAAGATTTTCTATTTTGAAATGTAACTAACGGCCAGACTTAAAATTTTGACTTTCAGTATCATTTGTAATATTTTACTATGGTATCGATTTGCTACAGTACTTTCACTTTGGAATGCCGCAGCAATTCTAATATCATTTTTTTATTTGTTTGAACAAACAAAGAATACAATTGGTGAGCACACCAAATTACAATAAACACAACTTCGCACAATAACCTTTTGATTTTATTATTTACTCGCCATTTATTTTTATATATACTCATACATATTATTTCTCACAATTCATCTTTCTAACCTTCATCATTCATTGCCTTTTAAATCATTCAAATTAATTAATTGCATTGATACACTTAAACGGATTTGAGTGGCGGATGTTGAAGAATATACATATAACTTGTATTTTTTTTTACTAAAATGCTAAAAATGTTGTACTTTTCTCAAACTTTTATCTATTTTTTATCCAATTGAAAGCATAAAACATTATTCTTATTTAATTAAGTTTTATTTTACATAAAAACCACATTCATTATTTTTATCATATCAACGGTAACAATTGTCTTTGTTAAATCAATTTATGGATTGCAAAATATAAAAATTTAAGTTGAACTGTCATTTAGATAATATGTAATGAATGGCTCGTATATTAGGTCACATTAACATCTAAAGAGTTTTTTTATTTTCAAGATATGCTATGTAGATGTTGGTATCATAAAAAGAAATACGACATATATTTTGATTTGGCAAGAAATAATATTATTTTTTGTAATTTTCATCTAAGAAAAAGAGCTTAATGAAACAAAATTATACTCAGATTGGATTAGACAAAAATAAATTTTTTAAGGACTAAGATATAATAGAAGGATGGAGGCTTATATGAAAAATCCATGTGATTGATGAGTCATTGATGACACTGAATTTCAAGCTTGCTAGTTAGTCTTCTATTCAAATTTTGAAAAAAATAAAATTTGGTGATACGATCAGATAGTCTTTTACTCATGAAGAAAACGATAAGACTTGAGGATTTGAGTTCCAAGAAACAATGTACCATTTGTGGAGAGTTTTGGTTTAGCAATTACTTCCATTAATTCTTCTCTATAACAAATGTAGAAATGTGAAACCAATTTGATTTTGATTCTAAATAAAATAAATATATTACCTTCACTACTTTCTATTCACAGCTTACATATATAGCTGTGTGTGCAAGCCAAAGGTAATTTTGTGCAGCAAAGCTTTTTCGATCAATGTAATAATGGTATCATCTTTTCTATGTCCCAACTTTTCTTCTTTCTCATCCTTGCATTGCTTCAATCTACACTAGTCTTTGCCTTAGGTATCCTTTCAAACTACTTCTTTAGCTATTGCTCCATCCATTGAAACAAAAACCCTTCTGAAATGGAAAGCTAGACTTGACTAGGGGTAAGCAATTGTTCAGTTGGTCGATTCAATTCAGTTTTAAAAAACTTAAAATACCAATAACCAATTTAACCGAACTAAGTTATACAAAGCTAACATCCTAAAAGTAAGCTCCAGAATTCAATATCTTTGTCCAATCGAATTTACGACAACTAGAATAGCTCAACATCCAACACTCTTACTGTCAACTACTTCCTAAGAAAGCAGTAACAAGTACATCCGAATCATACAAAGATGAAACAAAAGTTATATTCAGGAAACTGGTCCTAAGTAGTCACCTTCCAAACTTACCAATGCCTGAAATTCCCTCTCTGCTTCCATCCACTTTGTTCCGATCACAATAAATCGGATGACAACATCCTTCTCAATCTTCGAGTGCTTGTCATTCATGAAAATAGGGTTCTCTCCAGGCACATAATGGTAGTCGGGCATTTTTACGTGAGACAGATAGATGTTTTGGATTGGTCTACACTTCAAGAAAACTCCATGTTTTAGTACCTTATGTACAACTCCTTCCAATATCTCTCCTCTGAACATCTTGAAGGTGATTCCACTGAAGACAACAGGGAAAAGCACATCCCCAGTGTTCTGTCTAACTCTGCCCTTCCCAATGCTCTCCAGAGTTGCTACAGCCATGAAATATCCAAGATCCTTGGAGGCCTTCTTGCGAGCAAATTCATCCAAAAGGCGGACCACTATAGCCTTTTGGAGCATGAAGCCTTTGGCATCCAAGCTGTCAGCAGGAATTATGACATTCCATGGCAACTGCACCTTGAGAAACATTTTGCAACTGCAATCAAAAGGGAAATGTAAAAAAAAAAAAAAAGAAAAAAAAAGGTAATTCGCAATGAAACCAATGTCCTTAGAGTAAGAAGAAACAGTATATCAATCTTGAAGAATTCAAAAATCAACTTAGTCCTATCCCAATATCAAGTATGTTGAAGCCAAATTTCAACAATCCAAACAGAAAAGATTGAAAAAGATTAGTTTTTAACTAATTGAAAATTTACCAGATTGTAATGAAATATAACCCTACAATGCCCGTTTCACATGATCAGCAATGCTCAATTCCACGAATATGGATAGCAGCAAACCCAGAATCAAAATAAAGCAATAATAAACAGATAGTACCAAAGGAAAACTATGGCATTTTCTTCAAGAACAGTCAAAAACTTTTCTATGATCTTATTCAATACAAGCCGGTCAAACAAAATCCTATTGAAAATCATATCTTTTAAACGAAAAATGAATACTAATTTAAACCAACCAAAATTACTGGAACAAAAGTTTCACTCACTAATCATGGACAAAAGTTTATAACCAAAACAATGACTTGGCCATAAGATTCAGACAAGACACAACCAAAAACAAAACCAAAATTCCATGTCAAGATAATCTTAATTTCCCAGAAATTTGATTAAAGAAATTGTTCAAAAACAATGAAACAAAACCCATCATTAGTAATCAAATTTCCCTTCTAAAAAAAAAAAAAGACCAAACATGCCATAAAGACCCATACAAGCAAAACCCATTACGAATCAAAGCTTTGTAAACGTCAAAATCAGTACTATATTTTAAACCAAACAAAACCATGAAAACTACAAAGTAAAGCATCAGAATCATTGGCAAAACGATAAATTTAGAATAAAAGGAAAAATGGCTTTTCACCTGAATCGATGATTTTGAGAGCAAATTGAGACTGGAAGGAATGAACGAACTAACTAGCAAATCAACGGTTGTAACTTAAAAAGGTTCAGATCGACGGTCCAGAACATTTTTCCTGGAATAGGTTACTTAAAAACTTTTGGAGCTTGTTTTCAATTAAAAAACGTTTGGCATTTGGCTTTTAGCCTAATTTTTTTAAGAAAATATTATTTTCGATTACTTTTTCTTTATTTTGATAAGAAAAATATTCGTTTTGAATTTTTAAAATTTTTTAAATAAATTCCTTTTTAACGATTTAATTGCCCAAGTAAAAAAGAAATAAAAATTAGTATACATGAATAAGATAATTAAAATAATTTGTATTTTCATAATGTCCCAAAAAAATAAATAAATAACAAAATTTCTTTTGTCATTATTATTGTGTTGTGATTTAAACAAGACAACGTAAATTTCAAAAATAAATTGAATATAAACTAAGTTACATTGCAAATTAAAAAAAATATGAATTAAGTTAAAATTGAGTCCAAGAAAATTGATTTTGATTTGGTATGTCAATCATTTTCTTTTTCTTTCTCTCAAACATGTGTACAAGTCTCTTGAATTATGATTTAAAAACAATGTTATAAGAATATAAAAAAATCAAGCAGAATTATTTGATTTATTTATTGTCAAATCAAGCTTCAATTCAAATTAATGAGTCCAATTTAATTTAAATAATTTAATATTCGAGGGATTCAAAAGCTTAATAAGATTTATATTTTGATATATTTAATGAATATGTAAGTAAATAATAAAAATAGTATTTAATTTATAATTTCATCTAATCTAATCAAGTATGCTAAGTAGAACTCGAGTAACACAATTAAATTACATGCTATATTTTAATATAAAAAATAAAATTTAATTAAATTCGAGTCAAGCTTTGAATTATTAGTTTTCGAGTTAAGCCTAAAATTGAATTAGGATTTAATTGATTACATCCTACAATACTATCATATTGCTATGCCTTTTTGTGTCAATCGGATTCATCGTATATGAATATATACACCAAATATAAGAAAAAAAAGAATAAATTTGTGTCAAACACTTATTATTTCCAAAGCAAAGAAGCAAAAGAAAGTTTCAAATCAGTGCTATTCACATGATGAATAAATCAATTATAATTTCATGACATTTATTGTAAACACCATTTTTTAAATTATTATTATTATTATATTTATTTATATTTTTTCTTTTCTTTTCTTCTTTATTTTTTTCTTCTTTCTTCTTTCTTTATTCTGCTTGACAAGATCTAGTGCATTAAATGTACTATCACCAAAGTCCACAATCTCAGCGACCACCACCACCGGCAATTGCCTAACATGCACGGCAAGCATGAATTTTCAGTTGAAAAAATGAGACCCGAATCTCAGAAGATCTGAGATTTGAATCCCAGCAAGCTTTATAAATAGAGTTTGTTACCTGCAAATGAAAAGAGAAAGGGAATCGAAAAAAAAACTGCAAAAAAAATTTTTATTAAAAAAAGAGCTTTCTATCGAAAAAAATATTTTTGCAGAAAAAAAAAGAGTAGAAACAATCCCCTGGAAAGGGGAACCTAGCACCAAAAAAATACACCTGCAAAAAAAAAAATCAAGTTAGAATACATGAAAAAATATATTTCTTTTGGTCGAAACTTTCAGGCCAAATCTACGCAGTTTAGGGCATTTTTAGGTCAAAAGGAGGCTAGATCTGTGTTTAGGGGGTTGAGAAGAACATTTTACTCTCGTTTAAGATTTTTCGACCACCGTTGATGGTGGCGGCGACGACGGTGACAGTGGTCGATCGGTCCCCTAGGTTTTTGTCTAAGAAAGTAAGGGAGATGCTTTTTTTTAGGGAGGGGAAGCAATGACTGAAAAAAAAATTTATTGGCTTTTATATAAGCTATCAAAACCCAAAACGATGTTGCTTCAATAATGCGTAAAATGACGTCATTTTGTGCCATGAGGATCCACGCGTTAACCAATGACTCGACTCGGGGTTCGCGTACCCAACCCAACGACCAATTTCTCCATCAACCTCTGACCAGTCCATCTAAACAGAACTAGACCAAACCAGACCGCCCCGAACCGCTGACACCAGACCGAACCGCTGATGCCAGACCGAACAGCCGGTCCGAATCGTATGTTGATTGGTCTAGTTCAGGTAAAATTTTTTTTTTAAAATTTTAGATTTTTTTATATATTATTTTTGTTATTTTAATTATTATTAATATTTATGCATGTAAAATTGTTTAAATTTACCAAAATAATTTTTTATTATTTTTATAATATTAATTAAAAAATAAAAAAAAATTTATCCGACGATGAGATTCAAAGGTATTCCAAATAGTGATACCTATGAAATCTCTGGGTGAAAAAGATTTTTTTTTTAATACTACCAGTGTATTGGAGTATTTATAAAAATTTCAATACAATAAAAATTTTCTTTTTTTCTTATAAAATAATAAATAAAAATTAATTAATATATTAAAAAATAATAATATAAATAAAGAAAAATGAAATTTTATCCAATGATGGAATTCTAAAAGTATTTCGAGTAGTGATGCTTTACGAAATCCCTAGATGAAAGATTTTTCTTAAATATTACCAGTGTATTGGAATATTTATAGAAAAACTTCAACATAATAAAAAAAATTTTTTTACTTCAAAATTAAAAATAAAAAAATTAATAAAAACAATTAATAAAATTTCTAAAAAGAGAATAAAATGTGTGCATCAACATGTTATTATTTGTATTGCATGCATGACAAAACCGTTACAACAGCTTGGTGACTCCACTGGGGACTGCCATTTGTTTTCGAGAGTCAAGCCAAAATTAACTACGTGTTATCCTTAAATTTTGATTTAAATAGCCTTAATCAGTTTCTTAGATTTTATTTTTCACTTTCAACAAAAAAGTCATAAAAAAATTTTTCACACATTTCTTTCACTATGCCTTTTTTATGCTTTATTTTTTTGTATATATTACCCTTAATAAATTAGGATACATTTGCACACACAATGACATGTTGCATCTCATGCATGAGCTCTATACCCGGGCTCTGTCCCTTATATGAGCAAGTAAAGTACCTATGCCCTCGTGAGGTGATAACCTCTGCAATGGCAAGTGAAATACTTCTACTCAAATTGAACCATTTCCGTTCGTAGCCTATAACGGTGAGGATCGAGGTCCCTTACTAGTCCAATGTGGATGATAGTAAGGAACAATTTGGGAACCTTTAGACACGTGTCAATCTAAACCCAGCATGTAATAAGCCTAGGAAACCAGCCTTAGGTACAACCTCGTCTACTTTCTTGTAGGAAATACCTAAGAATAAAAGTTGTGTGTAATACAAAACAAAATAAAAAATCTAAAAAAAAAAAGAGTTGTTTTCAAACCTCATCCTCACATTAACTTAATTCTGTTTCATTTTTTTTTTGCATTAATCATATCATACAGTTATGTATCGAGATATTTGCTTTAGGACATATTTCTTCTAAGAAGTTTTCATGGATCCCGTAGAACTTCAGATTTGCTCATCCTCAGTAAGTGTCCCATGTGAGCCGTATAATGAAGTATATGTTTAGTCAAAAGAAGGCCAACAAAATAATAGAGATTGCTTACCTATCGGTTATGTGTCAAAGTTACCCGAAAAGATGCATTTGGATCTCACACAGAATGATTTAAAAGATTTAACTGCTATCTGGGGACAATTAAATGAAGAAAAAAAAGAAAGCTTTTGTAAAAAGTATAGGCAGATTACATCCCTTATTTTATAGTGATTGATGAGCAATTGATAAGAGCAACTATACAATTTTGGGATCCATCCTATAAATGCTTTACTTTTAATCGGGAAGATTTGATGCAAACTATTGAAGAGTATTCAGTTTTGCTCGGGATAGAACTACAGTGTCCAGATAAAGTATTCACCCGAAAGCCAAAATCAGGTTATCATAAAAAGTTGGCCAAGCTTATGAGGGTTAAAGTGGAAACCATTGATTCATTTATGAAGCCTAAAGGTGAACATCTTGACATTCGTTGGGACTTTCTCCGAAACTTCATTCAGGTGCATTTAAATGATGACAAAGGCATGGCTGTGTTTGCTTTATCATTGTATGACATGGTAATCTTTTTGAAGACTTTGGGTTACAGTGAGATAACTATAGTAGATCTTTTCAAGCAAATTGAAATCCAAGTAATTAATCTCGCACTATTAGTCTTAACAGAAACCATTCGATCATTGAATTTCTATCGATAAAATGAAAAGGGATGGTTCATAGGATGTGCACCATTATTATATGTGTGGGTTAGAAGTATTTTTAAATACGAAAAGAGTGCATTTTCAAAGCCATATCTATGAAACAAAGCACCAATTGAAGAGTTTTGCAAGAGTCAATGGCCAACATTGAAAATTAAGGAAGAGTGGGTCATTTTCTTACAAAGGATTACCAGTGATGAAATTGAATGGATGGCACCTTGGATGCCTCGAGTGCCTTTGTTGTATCGTGGAGGAAATAAGCTGTGGATACCTCTGTTAGGGCTATGGGCCATTACAAGTTATGCTCCGT